CCTCCCAGCACATGCAGTTTTGTAATGTACACCAATATGAAGGTGATCTGTCTCGCATCCCCTCCACATTGGTAAACATAGGAAAATTCATTCTGCTCAGGGGATGGAAAAAATTAGAGGGAACACTGTTGCCAACCCCACGGATTTGAAAATCACAAGTCAGGCGATCTAAAACAGATTGGATTAAAATCCATGAGATTTAAGAGAAATAATGTATTCTGGGATCTTTTTAGTTGCCTTGTAGTGTTGGGGCCTTTACGATTCCCGTTTTTGAGCTTCCCTCCACAGTCTTGATGGCTAGAAACCTTATTTTTTTAAAATGAAAGTGGAATTTTTCACATAATCACCTGGCTCCAGGAAATAGGGCTTTAAGAAAACATACCAACTATCACAAGACTTGTGATTTTAGCCTCAGGATTGCAGAGAAACACTTGAAAATATGACCTGTAAAGCTTAAAAATATATAATATAAAAGGCGAATAAAAATAATTTCCAATACTTTAAGTCCAGTGATGTTTGCCAAGCTTGTTGGGGGTTGGGGAAGAGGGTTGGTTTTGGTTTGATGTGTACCCGACTCTTTTTTTGAACACTTATGATTAGCAATAGCTTTCTCTACTGTACTCTACTTCTGGCAGTGGCCAACACCTGGTTGCTCCAGAAATTCTGTGATCATATTCTGTTGTTCATGGGAGGTAATTTATTCCTGACCTCTGCAAGCTGTTCCCACCCTAGAGCATGAGAAGTCTATTTTGAAGGGGTCTGTATTACAAAATATAGCTCTTTTGCAGTAGCTGCTACACATGATTTTGAGGTTGGAGGTCACATACTCAAAGGATTGTTGACTCTCAGGAGAATAGCTGTACACTGTTACTTAAGAAACTTTGGCTCCAGTCAAATATAATGACTTCCTCCTGCAGCTTTAAATAAAGGTGATTTCAAAATAGCAACAAAGTCTGGTAGATTTAATTACCTTTCCCCTGTGGCTTACATGGCATCAGGTTAGTTATCAACCACAGACAATTACTAAAGAAAGGTAGCTTCTCTTAAATATAATTGCATCCCCTACAGCTTCTATGGTGAAAGGGCCAAAGTGGGTAGAGTTTGTTTTACCTTTGCTGTTGTAGTCATGGTGTGTGAACTCTCTGTTAACTCACATGATGACATCATTTACAGCCACAGCTGAAACAGACCCCAGCAGATGTAAATCCTGCAGGAACACATCTGATTGATTCTTGAATCTATTACCAGTTAAGGATCTTAAATCTCCATGTACTTGGGCTTCTGGAAAAAACATTTCATGCTTTCATTTCATGGAGGGAGAGTGCAGTGTCACATGAGAAGGGAGTGAGAAAGCCACACCTGAAAAGAAACGCCTTAGAGCAACAGAAGGACAGGGTTTCTGTATCATTTTAGCATTGAACATATTTAACCTTATGACTATGAAGTACATTGGCTCTGTGCAAGGAACAGCATGTGAGAGAGGGTGAGAATGCAGAGAACACTGAACAGACTGAAGAGAAAGGGTATCTGGGGAAGATAAAAGTAAGAAAATGCAGTTTGGGAAATTTATCACCAATCTGATGGCTTTTGATGTTTTTCTTCAAGCCCCAGATCCTGGAGTCACGTCTTTGTGAACATTTCACCTCATGTTTAAAGCGATAAGTATAGTTCTAGCTTCTAGCCCTTGTGTTTGCAGAGAGAAACTTTAAATTGTAAACCCCAGAAGTGTATTATTTTACAATCTCATGATTTTTAAACCCATCTCATCACTTTTGGGGCCTGATATTGCATAGACCAGATGCTCAGCTGATGCAAATCAACATAATTCCACTGACTTCAATGACATCCCTGGAGTGCTGCTAGACTGATGTAGACTAGCTGCCAAATATCCCACGGGAGAGTGATGGTACCTAACTCCAGTGATTGTGTTTTTACATTTATATGGTATTTCTTGTTCTTCTCTTCCTGCCACGTAAAATATATGTATTCCATATAGCTAATAGACCAAGACAACAGTAAGTACATCATGGTATCAATTTTATAAGATCACATGTGTTTAACTGTTAAATCTTTAACTAACCAGAACATGCCATTTGTTTATTCCAAAGTGTTTCCTTTCTCAGATAGTTAACAGTTGTGTCCCTTCCATATTCCCCCACTCCTCCCTGCCAGGCTTGCTCATTTACTTTGGCTACGGCATGTGGAACAGCACACTTGAAATCAGTGCCCGGGAAGAGGTCCTTCATCAGAGCACATACCAGCGCTATGACGTGGATGTTGACCCATTCTCGGTCGAAGAAGGCTTTTCCTATGCTAATGAGAGTGACCACTACCAGGACTGGGCACCTTCAGAAGACAAAGGCTTCTCTTACCAGCAGATGTCAGAAGCAAAGGAAAGCAGTCGGACGAGTAGCAAATCGAAAAGCAAAGGCAAACACAAACAGAACTCTGAGGCCCTGATTGCAAATGATGAGCTTGACTACTCACCAGAGTAGACCTAACACCCACAAAACCACAATGCTATTTCTCACTAACCTAACCCTTGGGCTAGAATGTGAAGGCTTCTTTGGCTCTCATTTTAAATTCCACCCTTCCTAAAACTCCCAAAATCACATCACTTACTTGCTTACTTTTTTACTCTTCAGGTTAGTTCTATAAAATTTGTATCCTGAATTTTGAGATTGTCACACTGAACAAAACAAGAAAGTGACCCATTCTGAGTCCACCAGTGTGGCCTGTCTTGGTGAATATTACCAAGAGGGCCAGCAGATGGATGGATTGGCTGACTGGCAGATTCTTTCTATGTCTATTAAGCATTCTGTTGACCTCTTTTGACATCACTGACAATGAAATTTAAATGAGAGATGTGCCAAATAGGGCAAGTGTTGTGTGAGCAGTTACACGAGCAGCTGATCTGATGGGGTCATGAGACATACTCTCTGTTCTTTCCATAGAGAATATTTACCCCATGACTATACTGGTGTGGACCAACATATTTGGCATTTTCTTAGCAAGTATATTTTTTTCCCTTAAACTTATAGAAAGAAAACTTTTGCTAGCTAGGGATAAGCACACTGAGGCAGTAAAACATTTCCCAAGGGAATCTCAGGAGCAGATTAAAGGTGGATTCAGGGATCTTGGTCTCATAGAGCAAAATGTTCATCCTCCATTTTAGCACCCACTGCAAACACCATAGCGAGGGATGAGCCTGAACCAAACTCCCTGAATGTAAACACCCCACGCTCTGGAATTAAAACGCAATCTTCATAGTTTGCACCATATTCTAGAACAGACCGAAGGAAAAACTTCAGATCCCAGCACACCTGGGTTTCTTAGATCCGGATCTAAATTTTGTGGTTTGCGCCCATCTTTCACTATGATGAGAGTCACTCCTCATCTAGACTTAATTCATTCCACTATATAATACTCATCAATTTCAAACTCCATTTCTCTTGGCACCATCGGTACCAAGGCTTGGACTCCATTGCCATCATTATGTGTCTTCTACTGATTCACTGATCCTCAATAGTTTGTCATTCAGATGGGCTAAGTCTAGACTGGCCCCTTCTCCGGAAGAGGCATGCAAAGCAGGCAAGTCAGAATAGGGAAATCTGCGGGGGATTTAAATATCCCCCGCGGGATTTAAATAAACATGGCCGCCACTTTTTTTCCGGCTTGGGGAAAACCCGGAAAAGAGCGTCTAGACTGGCGCGATCCTCCGGAATAAAGCCCTTTTATTACTTCATGTCACATCTGTCATTAATTAGATCATCACTGGACAATATTCATGGCAACTGTAGATAACTGGGCCACTGACATTTCATTCTTTGCCATACTCTGTACTTTGTATTAAGGATCCTTACCTCATCTATGTTGGAGATTTTCAACCACTGGACTGTTAGGTGCTGCTATGAAAAATACGGAAGTGCAGTTAGTTGCTGTGGTGACTAAAATTCCGTAGTATCACACCTCACTTTGAAACCAAATGGAACAGGCAAAGAGGGACGGGGCGTTCATATAACACAAGGCAGGGATTCTTAGGAGATGAATGTTCATTGATAGTTAATCCACTGGCTACCAATAGAAAACTGGCCCAAAACTCCCAGCAATGGGAATGGGAATTATGCCTTAGTGAAGACTGCAGGATCAGACCCACTAGAAATAATGCAGCCTTCTCATATCTAATTACAAGCTTGATTGGCCAAACTCATTGGAGTAGCTCCATTGAAGTCAGTAGAGTTATGCCAGGAATAACTTTGGCCTCCTGTGTCTTTTCCTTTCGATGTATAACAGAAACATTATTAACTAAACTCTGATAGGAGTTATTCTGATTAAAAATTGGATGTTTCTGAGTCACTTTCTCCCATCCATGGTTTTATTTATTTAGTAATTTAAATGCAAGATTCTGAACTTGGCACATGTACAGAATATGCAATCGCAGTAAACAGTAAAGTGAAACAGAATCAAAGCAGAACCCCACCCTCCCAAACTGGGGCTCACTTCCCCAGACAAAGCCAGAGATAAATATTTTCAAAGCTGCCTAGGGGATTTAGATGTATAATTCATAGCCAAATTAATGAATAGTGTATCTCAGTCCATTAAGCAGGTCTGGAAATCTCACTCAGAATATAAAGCTGGCTTTGCAGCCTGACCTGATAGCCAGCAAATTTAGGTTCAGCTAGACCCGCAAAAGGATACACAATGGGCCTTTCTGAGATCATTCTCCTGCCATCCCTTTGAATTACAAAACGATCAACTACAACATCCTGGCTGACTTTGCAGAAGCAGCATCTGGATGGAAATCCAAGTGCCGCTGAATACAATGGGAGCCTTACCATTGACTTCAGTGGAGCTAGGATTTCCCTTTTGGTCTCTGATGTAGCTCACACCCACACTGTGCAGGACTAGTGGCCTCTTCTTAGCACATTTGGATTCTAATAGCTTTCAGAGACCGGGAGAAATGTTTATTGTCTCCCTCTTCCCTTTATACAATGTCTGCTCTGGTTCCCATCACACTGGCTACTTCTAGACTGGCATGATTTTCCAGAAATGCTTTTAACGGAAAAGTTTTCCGTTAAAAGCACTTTCGGAAAAGAGCATCTAGATTGGCAGGACGCTTTTCCGCAAAAGCATTTTTTGCGGAAAGCGTCCGTGCCAATCTAGACGCGCTTTTCCACAAAAAAGCCCCGATTGCCATTTTCGCGATCGAGGCTTTTTTGTGGAAAACAAATCTGGGCTGTCTACACTGGCCCTTTTGCGCAAAAGTTTTGTGCAAAAGGACTTTTGCTCGAACGGGAGCAGCATAGTATTTCCACAAAAAGCACTGATTTCTTACAGTAGAAAGTCAGTGCTTTTGTGGAAATTCAAGCAGCCAGTGTAGACAACTGGCAAGTTTTTCTGGAAAAGCGGCTGATTTTCCGGAAAAACTGGCCAGTCTAGACACAGCCCTAGTGTATAGACATAAGAATGGCCATGCTGGATGAGACCAATAGTCCAGCCAGCCCAGCAGCATGTCTTCCAATGGTGGCCAATGCCAAATGCTTCAGAGGGAAGAAACAGAACTGCTAATCATTGAGTGAGCAATTCCCTGTCATCCACTCCCAGCTCCTGGCGAACAGGCTAAAGACATTCAGAGCATAGGGTCGCATCTCTAGTGTAAATTATCTATGACCAGCTTGCATACAGATGATCCATTCTTAGCTCAATGTCTCATACAGCAGTTCTGGCTTTAAATGATTACAATACAAAAAAAATCCAAAACATGTTTTTAATTAACTTACCTAATATCCAATGCCTAAGAATGACTACTTTCTCAATTGTTGAAAGCTACAGGGCTAATTTCTGCCCCCTCCATTGTACAAGGGTAATCCAGCAAACTCCACTGACCTCATTATCTTTGTTCCTAATCTACATTGCTGCAATCAAGAATCCAATCAGGCCCACAATTCTCACAGCCATTCCCTCCCAATGCTTAGCAAAGACAAAATCCATGGTGCATATTCAGGTGAATTTTACTCATGTCACTTTGCCATTTGAATAGGAAAAACCTTCATGCCATTTTAGCATGAACATTGTGCATTTGCCAAATTTATTATCATCTGGGCTGAGGGTAAATAATGTTGGGGCTTTAGAGATACAGTAAGTCAGACAAGTAAGGACGTGACACATGATTAGTTTTTACTTTCATGAGCAGTTCCATGGAAGCCAGGGAAATTCCTGGGGTGAGTTTAGAAGCAGGCCCTCTAGGCAAGGTAATTTTAAGCCTAACACCAGATCCCAACTGGTGTGAAGTCTGGCCAGAGCACATACCCAGAGAACCTCTCTTTTACCTTTGAGATGAAAGCCAAGCCGGACACAGCATGTAGTCGCCATTATGACTGTCTAACATCAGCACACAACTAAGCTGAAATTCAAATGGGACATCTTAGAATGTCGCTGGCTGTCACATTTAAAAATGTCAGACACATTGCAAGAAACTGCAAATAGAAATAGATCCTTTCACAAGAAATTAAACAATGCTAGAATTCTCCACAAGCAATTACACATTTATTTATAACATGACACCCAGCCAATGTGCTAAGGATGCCATCCAAACTATTTATATACGTTAATAATAAACTCTGTGGTCTTGGAACCCTGCAGAACAACTGCTGGCTTCCACGAGGTCAGGGAGAGAGGCAAGGAGGTTGTGTCCCTTGGTTTACACACAACAAAAACACTGATATCAGTGCGAGTTTTCTTGTCATAAGGATTTAATGAGAACTGAGAAAACTCTAAAGGGTTTGGTCCATTAGTTATAAGTGGCTGAAAGGTAGGCACTAGAGCTGGGTATAATTTTTTGAGCAAATAATTTATTCACTGGAAAAGGTACTTTCAGTTCAACCACATCAATTCACAGAGTTGGGCTGAACTGGGTGAATAGTTTTGTCCCTCACAAATGGAATTTTAAAGTTAAAACATTTTGTTTCAGCATTTTCAAAATGCTGTGTGGAGTTTCCATTTCACGGTGATATTTCATTTCAAAATTTAGCTAGTTACTTAAAAAACCAAAATACCCCAAAATAATTGTAAAACCCCCTGAAAATGAAAGGAGCTAATTTAAGCTACATTGAACATGTTTTGTTGTTGTTTTCAAATATTTGAGTTTGGCCACCAAACTGAAAAACAATACAGTTATGTACTCGGCGGTCTATAGTAAGTGAAAAGAGCTCATGGAAAAAGGTAACTTATTTGAAAGACCAAATTCTAACTTTAGGTGCCCAAATACGCTCCCAGTGTTACTGTTACAATTCTATAGCTGAGCTCACTAGTACCATGAAAGGTTCTATCAGAGATGGATTTGAATCAAATTCCTCCTCTGCTCAAATATCTTCAAATTTGGGTAAAATTTGAATGTCACAGTTTCTGTGTTACTCCCCTATTTCATTAATTGGTCATAAAATGTCTCTTGCTGGCATCTTTGGGGCACAACCGCTATTTTTACTTTCTTTCTGTCTTTTAGCTGCTTTGCTAGTTTCTAGTGGGAGGAGGGAATCTGTCTGCAAAATTAACTTTCAGAACTAACTCATCTTTCAAAGCTTTTCCTTGCCCTTTAAAACTTTTCACCTATCAGTTCACAGAGGCTTTTAAAAAATAATGTAGTATGAGATTTTCCAATATAACAGTATTTTCCCATCAGTTCGTTTAATTTCAACTAGCCAATAACTGACAAAGCCTTTGTGGAACAGCTGGAAGTTGATACAGATCTTTATGATCCTGCTATAATGTGGATTAGTGCCTTTGAATAGTGGAGTGCCCCATCAATGCAGTGTTGGGAAAGAAACACCCCACTAAAACATAGTGGGGAAGAGAGCGCGCACATGTCAGAAAGGTTGAAATAGTTCAGTGGACTAATGCATTAACCTTCATACAATGCACAGTCAGCCTGGGACACTTGTTGCCATGGCATGTTGTGAAGGCCAAAATTACAGCTGGGTTCAAGAAAGCACTAGATAAGTTCATGGAGGATAGGGATGCTGGGAATGGATGACGGGATGGATCACTCGACATTTGACCTCTCCTGTTTGTTCTCTATAAGGCATTTGGAGCTGGCTACCGCCATAGACAGTATATTAAGCTAGATGAACATTGCTCTCTCCTGGGATAGGAAACAAATGAAAGTGAATGCTGTGGTCTCATCCAGGTCCCTGTTCAGCATCTGTCCACAACTGAACTGGCAACCTGGTAAAGAGAGGACCCCAGAGCTGCAATGCCAGGACAGGAGGTTGTAGACCTGGACTGAGGTTAAAAGACAGATCTGGGTGAATGCTGCATAGCACTTGCCCATACTATGCCAAGCTCAGTTCAATGCTGCATCTGTACCAAATTCACCTACCCAATTAAAACTAAGTGGTTGCTGTTATATGAAAATGTTTACTGTGCGTGTAAAAACTCTGATAGATTTTGGACACGTGCACTCTACATCCAAGGGCCATATTTTAATACACACAAACACATCCATTCACAACAACTTTTGCAATGAAACCAGTGGGACCAACCTTGCAATATTTACT